TACTTTATTACAAAAAATAAAGATGTGGTTTTTGGTACTACTACACCAATGGTCAAGAGATGGCGCTGTAGTCTCCTGAATCGCGCTTTGGTTCCGTTGTTCCAGATTAATAAATACTTTTGATAGGCCTTCACAATGCAGTCGTTAGCACCCACTAAATAGAGATTCTATTTCTATTTTGTTGGTAGATTTTCTTAATGTGCGGTAAACACAAAAGTAACAAGCATGAAGTTGGTCGCTAAAGCGACCAACTTCATGCTGTTAATTTTCGTGTTACAGTGATGCGCGCGCATCTTAAAATTTCACTCTCATCATTTTTTCATAACGCGCCTAAAGAAGTATAACTTCAATAATTAATAGGAGTAACAATTAATTAATTCTTAATTAATAATTCTTATTATAAAACGAACAAAAATATTTACAAAGAATAAGGAAATTTATTTAGCTTCAAACTGAGGAACCCTTCTATTACAAAGGCGATATTCTTAGCTGTATCATTTCGCTGGTCATTTTTTTACCATTTCAGTAGACACTTTTCATTTCAGTGGACTCCCGAAAACTTATCCTTAAATATTTCAGTAAGTGGTGATTGTTGAATTTGACTCTTCGGATCCTTTTAAAATGAAAAAAAAAACGATTTAACAATATATTTTATTTTTTTATTTTGCACCTTTAATTGCATTTTGTGCAAAAACTATGGGAGATACGCGAAAATATGTTGATACCTTATTTGTAGCAAATTAATTTTTCTACAACTTTTTCTATTTTCTCAGCCAGTCGCGAGATATTGACGAAAAACTCGTTTTTGCACCATTTCGCGTTTTTTTGCACCCTTTGCCGTCAATGCAGCACCCTGCAATTTTAGTATATTAATCTACGAATCCTTACGGAAATATAAGCGTTGGTTGCAGGTGATCAACTCAAAATGGCAAAGTTAAGCTTTCATTGACTTACAAAAGAACATAAATTTACAAAATGTGACTTAAAAAAAATGGTTGCCTGTAAAGTCGGTTTTACGGGCGAAGATTTTACGTGACAACGTCTTTTTCTCGGTAGAATATTTATTGATATGAATATAATTAAATTGCACAATAGGAACAAGGAATTGAATGAAAATAAGAATTGCACAAATTTTAACTATAGAAATATATTTTGTTTACTAAAACATTGTACATGTAAACTTAAACTTAACACGAGAGACTCATCGTAACGTTACCGAGCGTTACACTTTTTCATAAGTGACTCCCAGCCGCAACCTAATTTAAGACGTTGTCACGTCAAAACTGTAATTAAATATTGGTTGCGCAACAAAAGTTGCCCAATGGTATGATATCGCTTAACATTAAACAATTAGTAAAATATCAATATTAGAAAGCCTTAGTTAACAAGCAATACTCTTAGTGTGCGTAGATTTATTCTTTTACTGTAGGAATAATAATTGACCAGTTATCAGCAATGTCTTTTTTTTTATTAACATCAAAGTGAGCAAGGTCTTAAAAAGCACGGTGCTTTTTACACATTTTTTTTAAATCAATAGTCAATAAGAATATTTTTTAATTTATACCATTGTGTACGTACCATAATATTGGGACTTTGACAGTTGGCCATGCTGGATAAAGACAATATAGTCTCGAGATAGAAATTTTTGGTCACCCATCCAATGACCGACCACTGCGAAAGTTGCTTAACTACAACGATCGCAGCCGAACGCGCTAACCACCTGCGCCATCGAGCTCCTCATTAATTAATTAAATATTTATTAATAATTAATATTTGTTAATTTATTTATAACAAAGTTATTAATTATTTAAATTTCGAACATAATTATGAATTGCAAAAAGACACAGCGCGGCCGCTGCCGCTATTGCCGAAACTCTGAAGCGAAGTGAAAGGTAGGGCAGTATGTAAACACATACTTCTCTCAATCATGCCGCAGCAATATTTAGGGAATTATTGCCGGCAACGCGAGGGGCAGCGGCATAGGCATAGTCTAGGTATTAGATTAAAGTACCTCGAATGTCAGTTAGACTTATATCTATCATGAGAGATAAGCTACAATTATATTTTCCAAAACCGCGAAGTGGATATTTTTATTAATAAATATTAATAATATAGTTTTTATACAGTTGTTCAGGATTACCTACTTACTTCTTATTTCCCCGTATTTGTATTTTAAGGAATTTGTAACTTTTTTCATAAAATCGATGTAATGAATATATAATACCTATAATTTAGGTGCATATAAAAAACAGTTTATGTGAAACATTGTAATGTACTTATATGTGTTTAATTGGTAAGCCTTAATGAAAAAAATAAAATAAACGAATAATTGAGATAATCAAACTATTACGAATTTTCCAAATAAAAACGTTTTCCAGTTGTTAATCGTAGCAAAAATACCGTATAAAATATAATAAATAAAGATTTTTAAAGTTTCTATTTTATTGTTTCTTCATATTCTTAGTTAAAAAACTAAAATATTGGTTTTTTCAATGGTTTTCTATATTTATTTGACGTCACGGCTAGTGCAGAGGTCGTCGCCTACTGCGCAACGGGTCGCGGCTTCGATTCCCGTACGGCATAGATTTTTTGTATCTGGGCGTATGTACATGCGAGATTGTTTGTAATGACACCTACGATACCGAATGAAATTCTAGTGCGAGGCGAAGTATTTAAAAATATATATATATATCAAAACCTTGATAGTAGTAGTAGGTCCATCTCCTATCTAGAGCGATTGATTTTTCAATCAAATTATTATGAAATAGACATTTAGAACTTGTGACCTAAATAAGTGCATGCAATTATGATCCTTAAGGTGGTAAACATTTCCTGACCTCGACCGTATATATGGGATTAAGATCCAAGGGCTCCCATAGCGCTACAGAAGATTACTTGGCCTCAAACGAACCGGAACAAAAAGCCCCACAAAACTGCCCCGAGGAAAACAGCGAATTTTTTTGCCATTTTAATTATCATGAATCGCACTTACAGTAGATATAGCTTTCATAGTTGTAAGTTGTATACTCTTTGAAAAATTCGAATCAGAGTTCCCTAGCTACTAGCCGTTAGTAGTGGGCTAGCGGGTAGTTATTGACCGGTTTATTTACTGTCGAATTTAGATAATGGACTACGCGTCACCTAACCAACTGTGAAGTCCCATTTTACTCTATGTATTGTTGTCTTTTGTCTCGTTCTAGATGTCTATATCATGTGAGTGTCACTCAGTCCATTCAATCAGTAGTAAGTAATGTCCGAAGCACCCGTGCCCGGACATCAACTACACTATTCTCAACATCAGAGACCTTCGCTCTCTCGGCAGAGATCCAGTAGATCAAATCACTTTCGGCGTTCATACACCATATTCGGAGACCGCTGTCATCTGCCTCAGTCCCACAACTCAGTAGTTTCCTAAAGTAGAACTTTTTATTAGCTGCAGTAAAATGACGTTTTGTGGGTTACCGCTTTTTGAAGAAAAATAAATAGGGATGTAGCTAAGTGAGTAAGTGAATCATTCAATAAATGAGTGATCAGTTTGGTTTTATTTTAGAGATTTAATATTAAGTTGTAATGTTTTTTTATTCTATTATTATTACTTTAGTAAAGGATTGATCTTTTTCAGTGGAAGTACATCCAAAATTAAACAAAATTGTCATAACAATGTTATTTATTAATCAATCATTTTCGCAATCAGTATCGCTTCCGGTCTTCTTCTCTTCGCTTCTTCTATAATATGATCGAGGTGGCACATTTTGTCTTCCTCTTTTGTAGTGTGAGAGTGAGACACAAAGTCACTCCACTTAGTCGGTGTCACTTTGTTGATTCCTTCTTGGAATAAAGTTTGCACTTCTTGCATTTTATATGTTTTATTATTGTTTGCGACGTGCCCCTTTACCTGAGCCCAAACCAACTCGATGGGGTTCAATTCACAGTGATAAGGGGGTAGTCTTAAAAGTCTGATACCTTTTTCAGCAATCTTGTCCACGGCATATTTCTCAGTATGATTTTGTTGTTTCACAATATCTATGAGAGTGGCCTTCACCATATTTGGTTCAAATGTAATATTTTTCGTGGTCAGCCACTCTTGAATTCGTGCTTTCGTCCACGACATATTTGGGATTGTTTCGATCTTCCTAGAATGATAGGGCGCGTTGTCCATTACGACTACTGCATTCGGCTTGAGTTTGGGTAGATTGCCGTCGAACCACTCCTCGAAACACTCAGCGTTCATTTCATCATGGTAATCTTCTGTACCTTTCTTTGCTTCAAACATAAGAAGTCCGTCGTCCAGAAAGCCTTCTTCTCCGCCTATGTGACTGATTATGAGTCGTTTGCCCTTTCCTGTGGGATTTTTTAATCCCGTAGTTAGACCTTCTAAAAATGCCTGTCGAGAAGATTTTATACTTCTACCACTCCAGGTTTTTTTTGTAGTATGACCTGAAAGAACAAAAAATAATCATATGTTTCGACAGCTAAACAAAAGGGGATCAAACATAGAAAACTAAGAGTTGACACTTACCAGCGTTGATCCAGGTCTCGTCTTGATAATATATGTATCTTCCCTCCCTACGATATTGTTTAATTAAACTAAGTAGCGCTGGCGCCATGATATGATATCTTGTCTATCAATAAGTACGCTCTTGCGTGATCGAGTAGCGAATTTGAAATTAAGATGCTTCATAATTTTTTTCAATGTCTCTTTCGAGAAGTTGGCCTTTTGGTACAGCCTTTTATTTATATGAATAATAAATAGAATTAAGTATGATCATTATGAGTTACTTATGGAACGATTAGATTTTCTGTGAACCTAAGCACATCCCTATTGAAATTAAGCTGTCAACATTATTTTACGGAATGACATTTTGAAACGTCATTTTACTGCAGCTAATAAAAAGTCGAAGTATAGGAGCTTTTCTGCCACGCGTCTTTATCTCACCAGGTTTTGAAGTGAGGGTAGGTACCCAACCTAACCACTTAGTGTTTTTAAGGGGATTCGGGTTTCGTACAAAATAGAAATAAATAGTATATTATGATAGGTTTGTGCTTTTATTTTAGACCTTTTAAATTCATACATTGTAATATGGTAACACAGTATTTTTTAGATATACTTAAACTGATAAAAATTACTGCAATTAGGGTATAATTTAAATAATTAATTTAATTATACATTCAGAATGTAATTATAATAATAAACAAATTTAAGTATATACATTATACCTAGATATTTCCGTTAGTCTTGACATTGTTTAAATTATACGCAATACATTTCAAAATTATGTCCATTAATTTATCTTTTATTTCAGGAAAATTCATTGCTGTAATAGTATCGATCTACAATAATTATTTACTATTCACGTTTTTTTAAAAGCTAGTTTGGATATTGCTCTGAACATTTATATGATACAAAAAAATCAAATTTAAAAGCACAGGTGTCGGAGGTTCATGCAAAAAAGTGCAATACGGTGCTGCTAGAAGTGCGTAGGTACTGCTCAGTTAGTACTATCACAATTAATATCTTGTGCAATAATAGCAAGTCAGTAACATTACAAACAATAAAGACTTTAAAATAAGTTAATAACAACAAATACTTGGTCCAAAAAAGCGGAAATAAATCATTAACGACATCACAAATTGTATTCGAGCCGTCCAACTAGTGGAAACGTCATCTCGTCATATATTACAGATTTTCTTACTACAATTTTACCATGCATCTCACACCATCACACTAGTCACAACCAATCTGTGGACACAGCTATCAATCTCAGGAACTAAGTTGCAAGTAAGCAATTTTATTGTCTTATTAATGTAACTAATAGAGTTCGATTCTGTTACAAACTACATAAGGTCGATCAATGACCGATAAGAACCAATGACCGACATTTCTTTCCGTGATCAATGAAAATAAGATTCGGCAACCGACCTTCAAATAATATGGTAACACCGAGCATCTACAGCTTGGTGCGACCATACATAGCAATTGTCCCATCATCATCAATATATTAATGTCTCCACTGCTGGGGCACTTCCATATGAATGGCCCTATTCCATTCATAAAGCTGGGGCACTTCCATATGAATGGCCCTATTCCATTCATATGGAAGTGCCCCAGCAGTGGAGACATTAATATATTGATGATGATGGGACAATTGCTATGTATGGTCGCACCAAGCTGTAGATTGGGCCAAGATATTTAGATAGATGATTTGCGACCTTATTGGATTTGTTTTTGAGGCTTTTACTGAGAAAAGATTATTGAAATCGGCCATTTTATATCTGTTAGCTAGGTCGGTCCACAAAAACTTCTGAATATCAAGGATAAGGTAGGAACTCACAAAGTTTCACATAATCGAGTTCCTACTTTATTCTGATAGTAATAAACATAGGTATTTTTAGATGACACTGTTAAGTGTGCAACAGAATCGTGCATCTATTACATTGTATTTTCAGAGTATCACTTTCATACATATAATTGAGATAGATGTCCACTTTGTACTGAATCTGATTTCTTTATATAAATACTTTGTGAGAATTATGGCACTGGTGAACTTTTCAAGATCCTTGTTATTCACTGTAGCCGACCACAACGTTGTATCACTTATTGTGCCATCAGATGAAATAAAAATTTTGGGCAAGTTCACATAACCGCACGATACCGAGAAAATAAAACATGTTTCGCCTCATTCGAGTCATTCCAGCTCGAAATTCATTTGGTTTGATGGTAATAAGTTATAAATGCAGTGCCGTCCACCAATGTGCACTGACAAATATCCGTTAAAAAATGCACAGCCATACTTTTGCTTTTATCCTATTAGAAAGGGAGTCATTATGGGAGACCTAAAGAACTTGCTCACGCGGTTATAACTCAGTCTTTCCTAGGACTGCGCGGTCATGTGAACTTGCTCTTAATGTAAACAGTTAATGCAACACAAACTTTAAGTATTTGAACTGTATCTACAAAAAGATGTACTCGGTAATAACAGACTAATAATAATAGGTCGAAAAAAATGAAAATAAACTAAGTATATTATTATTTAATCTATATCTAAACCCAATTTCTACCCCATTTTCTAACATAACTGGTATTAACCAAGCACATTGGTATCGTCTCATAAAATGTCTTTAAAGGCTACATGATTACGAACTAACAATTCTAAATTCATAGTTAAGTATCTGTTAAACAGATTAACACAACAACATCTCTCGTTGGTATTCAATATTCGGTATACTACAGAAATAAGGCGATTCATTCAAGAACAAGTCAGGCATTAATGAGTGCACTGAAGTTCCATCTATATGATTACCTCACGCACCTTCTTATTTACTCGGCCCTCATATTTTAACACACAAAATGCATATGACCCGTTTTATGTCATGCACGTGGCCTATGTAACATAAATATTACATTTTCACAAGTCACAGTTTACCAAAGTTAGTTATTTGAAAATTGTGACAAGTACATTTTAGTTGGAATATGAACTATTCGTGTTTAAGTACCGAATGCATAAAAAAACTAGAAATTTATTTAATGGAAAAAGTAACGTGTGTCGCTGTATGTTCTACTACAATCACCATTTGTCCCAAGAATCAATCAACAACTACATTTTTCTATCACATAATAATGGTGAGTGATTTTACTAATACTATCACCGTCAAAAAATTCGAATTCGTTCGAAAACCTCACAGTGATGCTCGCATTATAAGCGTCCTGCATTATATTGTACCTGATTATTGTTCTTTATAATAAACTAAAACAGTCAATAACTGATTGAATGATCAGTTTTAGTAACTCATATTGTAATGGTAAATAAACATATTTGTGGTCTGTAAATTACACACAATTTATCACATAATACATAGCTTCACGTCATATATCTGAGCGAGGTCAGCAGAGCATGAATGAGACTTCTATAAATACAAATAGCACTTTCATAGGCACGCTAAACACCAAATTGGCGTTGGTTGGGTCTAAGTTGCTCGAAAACAGGAGCAATCTCCTAAAAAAAAATCTCAACCCTATCTGTTGATTGTCAGCTTTTACTATCTGCCCATTCAACTAGCACATTCTCCTAAAACATCATACTAACTACATCTGAATTTCCTCTTTGTGACATTGTAACTACAACTGTCAATGGTGGTACATAAAAAGTGATCAACATATTGTCTATTTACAAAACTGTCACAGTTTCGATGTGTTTGCACGGGTGGTCCTAGATACAGAAGGCACAGTCGCGCAGTGGCGTGTACTTCGTAGAGGCAAAAAATATATCTACCGTATTTATAAAGGCATAAGGCAGAATTTCGGTTAGTATGAAGAGATTTTGTTTTAGCCTACCCCGTTTGAAAGTAATGCCACTGCTTTGTGTTTGGATGGCAGTGCTGTCGGTTACGGGCACTCCTTGCTGAGCATCCTGGTGAACGCTTTGGGGATGTCCTCGTTGGTTTTGGACGCGATGTGGCCGCCCAGGAGGGTGGGAGCCGGTATCGCACCGGTTTGTATCCCATGAGCTGTCTTCAGGAGGTCGTAGTTTATCCTTTCGGTCACGATGGAGTCTTTGCTATTGGAGAAAAAAGGTCATCAAAATCATCATCAGCCTATTAATATCCCCACTGCTAGGGCACAGGCTTTCCTTATAGATGAAATATGGAGATTGGGTCATGACCCACCACGCGGACCCAGTGCAGATTAGTGGATGCTAACGACTGCAGATGCAGCCGGTACCAACGGTTTAACATGCCTTTCGAAACACGGAGACGCTCGAGATGGTAAATTTTCGGTCACCCGCTCAATGAACGACTATTGCGAAAGTTGCTTAAACTTCTATGATCACAACCAAACACTCTAACCATTTACGCCACTATCTATTGGAGAAAAAATATATTCGATTTAATCACAGAACATAGAAAGAGGTTAGAAGAGCCTTGTAGGCGGAGCGGGCGCGCCTCAGTTATGTGTAAGCAAATGCACATAACTTGAACAAAACTTAGTTCTGAATGCGTCGTGGCTCCCTGGTGTGAGTGCTGATTGGTTTGTTTGATGTCGCATCGTTCGATTGGCTATATTATCTATTATGTGGTTGTCTAGTGAGGGCGACCCGGTGACATCGGTTTCCGTATATATGGTCTATCCTTCCGATTGTGATTTATTGTAATTATCAATTTTTCGAAATACGTAACAGTTTTTTCTTATTTTTTTTAATGTTAATATAACAGAACTGTAAATTATACAGTACAACTTGAACAATCTGTCCCAAAATATATTCCACCATATCCCTCTACTGCATAGTGGATGCTTAACTAACTATTGGGTCGATTTTCTAAAGCTGGCACCCGTTTTTCGTTTTCATAGAAACTTTGACGGTGTAGTACGTTACGGAGCTGTTAAAAATTCGTGCTTGGGCCTTTGATATTCAAGGTTTGCCGTTTTCGTTTTCTAGTTCGAACGCTCTAGTTTAGAAACGGTTTACTTGTAGTGGGGGTGGGTGGGCGGTGCCGAAGTTCCTCAATAACACAGCTCAAAATATCACTCACTTGTACTCGGCCATGGTGGCGATCTCACCTGACGCTCAACTCTGGTTCAGCTTGAGGCACCGCTTTACGGCCGATCTTAGACACTTACTCGTAGTAGGGGTGAGTGGTGACGAAGGTCTTCATCCAGGCGGTCATGGTGGCGACCTTCCCGGACGCTCGTCTCTGGATCAGCTTGAGGCACCGCTTTGACCATAGACACTCACTTGTAGTGGGGGTGGGTGGTGACGAAGGTCCTCATCCAGACGGCCATGGTGGCAATCTCTCCGGACGCTCGTCTCTGGATCAGCTTGAGGCACCGCTCTATGGCCGACCATAGACTCTTACTTGTAGTGGTGGTGGGTGGTGACGAAGGTCCTCATCCAGGCAGCCATGGTGGCGATCTCCCCGGACGCTCGTCTCTGGATCAGCTTGAGGTATTGCTGCACGGAACAGTGAGTGTCAGCGTCCACATCCATGCCCGACAAGTATGACTCTATCAATGGCACTAGACCAGGGAATGTACTGTCCTGTGAATAGAAAACAATCATAAAAAAATGTGGCTTGTTTTGCTCGGTTTAAAATAATTTACAATTATTTCTCGGTCTGATTTTAGTGGTTCCTCTGAGAAAGAGAGTAGCTAAAGGAAATAGGTATCTATTGCATAGAATAGTAGACTCACTTTCCCGTTGACGATTTCAGACAGACATTTATTACAAAGACTAGTAGACTCACTTTCCCGTTGACGATCTCGTTGATGGTCATCTCCTCGTAGTGGTCGGTGTTGTCGCACGTTTGTGGGGCGACATCTCGCGGTGCTCCCACGTCGCGACGCCACCAGAACTTTTGGTTCAAACACGCGCCACGCCTTTGAGCGCGCTGCATATTCTCATCCACCTATAATAACGTTATATGATGTTATAAAAGTAGATAACACACGATGAAATTTTAATTGGCAGCTTTTTTCTTCCAGCATTGCCCAGGTCTTTAAATGCGACATTGGTTGAAATGGAACCGCAAAATATTATAGAAGTACAATTTATGATGAAATTCGAAAGAACTACACTCCCAGACTCTTGAATCGAGCCACCTTACATTCCCGGGCCTAAAAGCCGTATACACAAAAAATATACAATATAACAAAAAAGTCTTTATGCATTTTTAATGCTGGCATATTTCATCGTCTTTCCCGTATGTATTATTCCAAATTTGAATTTTAGAATTTAAAATAAAGAACAAAAGCCGAGCTTTGTCACTGATTTGTAAAAAATAATGACTGTTGAAAGTTGCTTTTAAAGCAATTTAATGTCAATTTGGTTTGAATTTTTGCAACTGTTGTAAACCAAAGTTTAGTTTAGTTATTTTTCTATAATTTAAACCGTTTTTGGCTATAAAATTATGGATACTTCACCTGAAATAGCCGCGCAAGCTGTAGCACTTCTTCAATTTGGGCTAAGTCAGTGAGAAGTGAGTTCACAACTTCACATAAGTCGTTCCGCTGTTCAAAGAGTATACCACCGATACCTGGAGACTGGCGGCTTCGTTCGGCGAACAGGAGGACCTTGTTACCGAGTGACAACGGCGAGACAAGATCAATACATTGTCACTACTAGCTTACGAAATCGACGCCTTAACTCTGTTCAGATACAAGAACAGCTCAGGGACTTTCACGGAGTGGCTGTAAGTGCTCGGACCGTTAGAAGGCGACTCAATGAACGTGGTTTAAAGCCCCATAAGCCAGCCAATGGACCCAAATTGACACGAGCACACCGAATAGACCGTCTAGAGTTTGCGCGCGAACATCTAAATTGGACTCAACATCAATGGAGCCAGGTTCTCTTCACAGATGAGTCCAAGATAATGCTATACGGTAATGACGGAAGGAGTAAGGTGTACCGAAGACAGAACGAGCGTTTCGCGCAATGCTGTATTGCTCGTCAATACGAGAAAGTGAGTTATGGTGGATGATCATGGACAGTCTGGGGAGGAATCTCTATGGAAGGCAAAACTGAGCTAGAGGTAGTGACGAGATCACGACTGCCGCCCCTAGATGGCAATAGATACATTCGCCAATGTTTAGAGAACCACGTGATGCCATATGCTGGATTTATTGGCCAAGATTTCGTTTTAATGCATGATAATGCAAGGGCCCATACTGCGGGAATCGTCAGGGAGTACTTAAATGACATTGGTATCACTGTTATGAGATGGCCAGCGCGAAGTCCTGATATGAATCCTATAGAGCAGTGATTCCCAAAGTGGTCTATATTGACCCCTAGGGGTCTATGACAACCTGCAAGGGGTCTACGTCAGCGAAAAAAAATCAATATCAGGGGGCCATTCGCCTAACAGAAATGCTTTGGAAAACGCTAACGCTTTCGATTTCATTTTGTTATTTCTGATCGCCGAAGGTTTTCAAATACCTCACGCTCATTTTCTATAATATTGTTATTACCAATGCAAAAGAAAAAAGAAGAACGCGAGGCATTTGAAAACCTCAGGCGGCTAGAAATAACAAAATGAAATCGTAAGCGTTAGCGTTTTCCAAAGCATTTCCGTTAGGCGAATGGCCCCCAGGTAAGTAGGGGGTCTACCCAATACGGAAAAACATGGCAAGGGGTCTACGACACAAAAAAGTTTAGGGAACTCTGCTATAGAGCATCTATGGGATTAGCTGAAGAGGCGTGTTCGACCTCATCATCATGCCCCGCAAACCATGCAGGAGCACAAAAATGTAATTTTGGAAGAATGGGAGGGCATTCTTCGACATGTCATAACGACATTGATTAATTCTATGCCAAACCATATGAGAGCTGTCATAAATGCACCGGGAGGCAATACAAGTTACTAAATAAACATTTCTTTTCATGTAAAACATGTCTTTAATTAAAAATCGATAATTTTTTTTTCCTTGACAAAAGCAAATATGGACTTGTTTCAACGTAACTCGACTTTTTTAATAAACTGTAGTTCAAATTTAGAACAGTGGCACTCTAAATGAATGATGAGATTGATGGATAAACAAGTAAAAGTGGCATCGATATAGTTACCTTGCTAATGTGCATAACGAAGTTAAGGTTGTACGATAGTATGACACGCGTGAGAAGTACCACGACCCACACGTAGGATGCATTCTCGAAGCAGGTGAGTTGCGCCTCGCACGAACGGAACTCCGCAACTAACATAAACAACAGAAGTGGCATCGCGCAAATAGTGACATTGCTAATGGGCATAACGAAGTTGAGGTTGTACGATAGTATGACGCGCGTGAGAAGTACCACGAAGCACAGGTAGGCGGCATTCTCGAAGTCAGTGAGTTGATCCTAGCACGGACGGAACTCCGCAACTAACATAAACAACAGAAGTGGCATCGCGCAAATAGTTACCTTGCTAATGGGCATAACGAAGTTGAGGTTGTACGATAGCATGACACGCGTGAGAAGTACCACGAAGCACACGTAGGCAGCATTCTCGAAGTCACTGAGTTGCTCCTAGCACGGACGGAACTCCGCAACTAACATAAACAACAGAAGTGGTATCGCGCAAATAGTTACCTTGCTTATGGGCATAACGAAGTTGAGGTTGTACGATAGTATGACGCGCGTGAGAAGTACCACGAAGCACACGTAGGCGGCGTTCTCGAAGTCAGTGAGTTGCGCCTCGCAAGGCCGGAACTCCACACGCCAGCCGATCGGCGAGTTGGGTGGCGGCGGCTTGAAGCGCATCGTTTGCCAGTTCGTTGACTGAATGTTCTGAATTATATGACGTCAACAAAATTAGTAGGTAGTGCTGTTCTTTTGTCTTTTATTGGTGAAAAGGGCAGCTTTGACCGCATTGTCTGCCAGTTCGTCGTCTGAATCTCCTATATTGGACGTCAACAGAATTAATAGTATTTCTTTTGTTTTTTATTGGTGAGAAGGGGCAGTTTGACCCGCATTGTCTGCCAGTTCGTCGACTGAATGTTCTGCGCGCGACATCAGTAAAATAAGTGGTCTTTCTTTTAGTTTTTTTTTTGGTGGAAAAAACACGTTTATGTATTTAAATTTTTTTCAGCACTACCCATAATAAATATTGCTGCTAGTCCAGAGAGTTAATTTATGAACATTGATTTGGAAAATTATCACTATCGATCAGTTCTGGAGACCTTAGACCAATGGAAGTAATAACAATACTTGTGTATGTACATTTATGTAGAGGAGGCGCGACGGTCACGTGAGTTCCCTTTTATGCTTTTCCCATCCCAAAAGTGCCTTACGGGCCTAAAGAAGTATAAATAAATATTTCCAAAACCCGCACCAATTAGCCTAGCCCCAAAGTAAGCACTGTAGGCTAGTGTTATGGGATGCTAATGTAACGGATAGAATACATATACATATATATAGTATATTTATATAGAAATACAAATTAAACATCCATGACTGGAGTACAAATGCTCGTATTCATCACACAAACATCTGCTCCCATCGGGATTTGAACCTGGGACCTTTCGAGTAGGCGACAACTTGAAACCACTCGGCCACGGAGGTCGTCAAAGTATCTTTAATGTTCTATTATATTGTTACGTGTCAATACATGTTACTGAGAATATAATTATAGTCTGAATTTACGGTTACCTCAAAATGGTCTGTATCATTTTTGTCGTCTTGATGGACTTTCTCGGAGAAGAGAGAGACGGAGTCGCGTATGAAGAGATGCGCCACGTGCAGTGCTAGTGGGTGGTCGATGCCACCTTCTCGCAGTCGCCGGTAGATGGCAGCGTCATGCACTATAGGAATATCGTTATATCTGAAACGATACAAAATGTTAACATCAAGCCATATTTATGGTAAAGATACTTTTTCTATTAGCATAGATCGCATGATGGCGTGTTTAGTCTATGATTGCGTAAGTTAAGCAACTTTAATAATGGCCAGCCACTAGATGACTGAAAATTTTATAAATAGAACTCCGCCGTGATTTGGAAGACATGTTAAGTCATTCATTGAGCCAAACTTTGTTTGTACCTCTGCAGTTAATAGGATCCACTTGTTCGTACTACACTGGACCGTGTAGGATGTGGCCCATATTCCTAGTTATTCTAACGGAAGTTTTCTGCCCCATCCACTCATGGAGACAATAATGGGATGATAAATTGTTAGAGCTTCATACTGGCATTTGATATGTATACGCAAATAAAATACTACTGTTTGGCTAGACGTTTATTTCCGAACTGGTGGGGACAGCTTCGACACTCGGCTAACAGATAAATAAATATTAAATTACCTTCAAATATAATCCAATATAGTAACAACATATTTAGCTGAATTTGCTTCCACTATTTATGTATTCTAAACTTCCAACGTGAAAGCTAGTAAATATTAGTTATTTCTAATCTAATTTAATTATCTAGTAATTACTGGTAACGCCTACCAGACTCGTAGCAGCAATGTCGCCGCACTCAGAAATCTTGCTTGATATTTTACTGTTCTTTCATTACATCTCACACGCCTCTTGTGGCAACATCAAAATTCTGTTAATAATTAAATACATCAAAATTCAATGTGAGTTTATTTCTAAAAGTAAATTCCATCACGCTCCAACATTCCAAAAAGGCGTGAACATATGGCGCCCGAACAAAAACATTCGAAAAAGCAAGGAAAGAACTGAGGAACTAAGGATACGAAAATTGCCTGCCGAACAGTGATTCAGCAAAAGACTCACTTCGAAGACAAGATTCAGATAAGTGCCCTGTTTATTCCTTTCCTAAAACCTTTTTATTTACTTTTAATCATTACCAAATTCGCAAAATCCATTATTTAAAATCCATTTTGATATAATTTTACACTTGTGCAAAGTACGACTACCCTACAACAAAAAATTAAAATATAAATTTTCTTAATATTCTCATAATCTGGTTAAATAAATACAAAATCATTAAATTAATATAATTAAATATTGTCCCCCATCCATATCGCGCTAGTTATTACTGGTTATTTAGCAAAATTTGCCGACTATTTCAGCTGTGCAAGTGATAACGGCCGGCTTCTCGAGGGCCTATAGAAAGGGCCTAAGGCTTGATTCAACGGGACAGCAGCTGATTCTGCTCGTAGACAACCAGTTCACGAGTGTCGCCGCAGTGTGGGAGTGTGAGATACGTACAAAATTTTACTATTTAAATAGATTTTATGTCTTTCAACTTACGGCGTTCCTTATAATTTTTGTCCTTAATTACAAATAAAACATACCAAATTAGTGAAAGTTCATACATCGTAGTAGCTTAATAGAATATTCAACTTTCTACTTGTTTTATTTATTTTCTTTACAACATAAAATGACTACGCCATTACCAGCAACTACATTATCGGTTTCAAAGCCAATCGATCAAAATCTGAAAGAATTAATAACTAGGCGTAGTTCAGTTAAAGGCCAAATCACACGATTTAAAAACTACTTGGACAAAATTACAAGGAAACCTGCCCTGACAACTATTGAAGTTGCTGAGTTATCTTTAAAACTCAGCAGGTTCGAAAGTCAGTCTGTTAAATATGACGAGCTGCAAACTCAGATCGAATTAATTAATGCAGATAATTTAGAATCGGAATTTGATGAGAGAGAGCGCATTGAGCAAGATTTTATTTTATGTATTGCAATGGCCAAAACTTGCTTAGACGAACAAAATGAAATAAAGACAAATGACCAAGACAAAAAGAGACGTGAATCTTTGTTTCATGAAGCTCAATGCGGTTTCAATCATTCTGATCCTGGTGTACGTTTGCCTCAAATACAGATTGCGAGATTTGACGGATCATTCTTTCGTTGGTTAGAATTCCGCGATACGTTTACTAACTTAATCCATAACAATGAACACATTTCTAGTATTCAAAAATTTCATTACCTAATTTCTTATCTAGAAGGTGATGCAGCTCGTGTCATATCTAATATTGAAGTCTCATCCGCTAATTACAATGATGCATGGCAATTACTTTATGCGCGATATAATAACAAACGTTTACTTATAAATCATCACCTTAAATCTATATTTAACATACAGCCATTGACGCGTGAAACTGAGGGTTCTTTACGTTACTTGGTGGACCATATCACCAAAAACTTACGCGCCCTAGCTAATCTAGGTCAACCCATTCAACACTGGGACACGCTTATTATTTATTTGGTTTCTTCTAAGCTTGATAACCATACCCTTGTGAAATGGGAAGAACAGCGTAACAGCTTAGACGACTTTCCTAGCTTAGAACAATTTAAATCATTTTTAATTGATAGGGCATACATTATTGAGTCTACAAATCGTAACAAATTTATGAATTATAATTTAAATAAAGGTAATATTGCAAAACCTTCTCAGTATACGCAGTCACACAATAATAAACACATATTTCAAACAAAATCATATGCTACAACACAACAAAAAAGCAATCATAGTGTAAGTGTATGTCAGTGTATAATTTGCGACCAAAATCATAAAATATACGACTGTCCAAATTTTAAATCTAAATCCATAGAGCAAAAATTATCCGATGTTTCTAAATACAAATTATGTTCAAACTGTCTACGTCAAGGTCACCCGGTTAGCGAATGTCGCATGGGCCCTTGTAGGCAGTGCAATGAGCGTCACAATACATTACTGCATTCAGTTGAAGCAACTAAAGCCAACAATGCCCAAATTCAGGAATTTAATTCCATTGTAAATTTCTCTAAAGAAAATAATTCTAAACATGTTATTTTATCTACCGCATTAATCGAAGTTTTGAATCCAATAACTAAAGAGGCAATTACAGTTCGTGCCTTATTGGATTCAGGCAGCCAGTCATCTTTCATTACAAAATCATTGCAACAAAAATTATCATTACAAACAAAACCCACTTCAATTAACGTTGTTGGAATTGGAAATAATGCTGTAAATAAAATTAACGAAAGTTGTGTTATCCAATTAAAATCAAAACATCATAATTATTCCAAAAATCTACATTGCTTTGTTCTAGATAAACTTACAGGAGATCTGCCAAAGGCTCCAATAAGTCTATCTGAGTTAAACATACCTTTAAAATATAAATTAGCAGATCCCAACTTTGACCAACTCTGCCATATTGATTTACTGATAGGCGCAGACCTCTTTTGGAATATTTTATTATGTGAACAAAAACCACTGGGTAAAAATAAACCCATACTTCAAAATTCTAAATTAGGCTGGCTTATTGGTGGCTCTTTAAATGTTGCTAAAGGTGACAAAATTCACTGTAATACTTTATTACATAACGAAGAAGTTTTAAATAATTCTAAATTTGATAACATGGTTACTAAATTCTGGGAGTTTGTAGAAGTTCCACATAACTTACTATTAAATGACACTTACGCATGATGACATTATTGTAATCAAAAGGTACATTATGCCAAATGCCTACAAAGTTTTTGACCCCTTGGGTCTACTTAGTCCTTTTATTATGCTAGCTAAATTATCGCTCCAAAAATTATGGCAATTAAAATTGATTTTGATCAACCTGTACCTAATAACATCAAAAATGATTGGATAGAGTTTTCTAAAGGCCTATCTGTCTTAATAACTTTTCAAATTCCACGCCAAGTTCTTTGCGAAGCTTCAACTTCTGATGAAATACACACCTTCAGTGATGCTTCTCAGGTAGATTATGGTGCCTACATTTATCTAAAGTCCAAAACCTCAAACGATGGCGCTACTGTACGACTGCTGTGCTCTAAATCAAAGGTAGCGCCAATTAAACCAACAACCATACCTCGTTTGGAGCTCTCTGGAGCACTCCTTGCTGCTCGATTGTGCAAAACAGTAGTGGATTCGCTAAGGATTACACCTGACCGTATTGTTCACTGGTGTGACTCTAGTGTAGTTCTGGGCTGGCTAAAGAGTGACGCTAAAAACCTTCGTTGCAAATAGAATAAGCGAAATACAGGATATCACAGTATCTTCTGCTTGGCGCTACATCCCCACAGCCGATAACCCCGCCGACCTAATTTCGCGAGGCATCCATGCTAGCACCTTACTGAGTTCAGTTTTATGGTGGCATGGTCCAGATTTGTTACTGAGGGAGGAGGCATATTGGCCAGTTTTAAAAACACAAAACCATACCGACTTACCTGAAGTCAAAATAGTTTCCAAAATAATTGTTTCAGAATCAATTATTAAATTTGAACGTTTTTCAAATATTACTAGATTACAAAGAACAATGGCTTATGTTAAACGATTTATACAAAATACAAAATATTCTAAAAATAAATTAACTGGCATTTTGACCGCCGAAGTATTAAAAGAATCTTTATATTTTCTATGTAGTATGGCTCAGCAGCAATGTTTTCCGGCTGAGTATAAATTATTACTTGAGTAAAACAATTAAGTGCAAAAACAAAAATTTTATCTTTATCTCCATTTATGGACGAAAATAGCTTGATTCGCGTGGGTGGTCTTATAGAAAAGTCAGATTGTACTTATGAGCAAAAGCACCCAATTTTACTAAATTCATCATTATCATTCATGCAAAAGTGCATTTCTTTTGGCACTACACAAATACGTATCACGTCGAGGCCGACCATCGAGTGTGTTTTCCGGCAATGTTCGCAATTTTGTAGCTAAAGAGCTTGATCTGTTTCTAAATAAACAGACCGAAATATTGTCTGAGTTTGCCGCTCACGAAGGCATAAAATTTTCATTTACACCCTCTTACGCTCCCCACTTTGGTGGGACTTGGGAATCTCTAATTAAAAGTTCCAAAAGAATTTTAAGACGTGTTATGGGCACGACCCATTTAACTTTTGAGGAG